CTCAAATACCCACCTCTGCCACAGTCCACATGGGCAGTACTATTCTAACAGAGACTTGTTTCTGTTTCACTAATTTTTTTTTACACTCCCCGTTTGAAAAAGCAGCCTTTCACAAATTGTAGGGTTCAAGGGGTTAATAGGTGGTCAATGTGCATAAATATTTTGAAGGCACTGAGAATCCCTGGGGAGTTGCGGGGGGAGGGAGGGATAACTTTACTAATGGTTAGTGCATCTTTTCCAAACGGCATTTAACTTTAATTTCTCTTCAAGCCCTTTTTGATTTCCTGGAGTACAGTTTGGGAAAGTGCTTCAAAAATATCTCCTCCTTATTCCCTTATTTGACCTAAAGCAAAGATTCTCTTTCTCAAATTTCTGTCACTTCACACCACCTTCATGGTTTTTGTCATGCTTGTGTATCGCCCACATGATTCTTAATATCCTTCTTTCAAGCCATTCACTTTTGAAAACATTTTAAGTTTCTTTCCAAAGGATTCTTTATATCACTGCAGTTTAAGTGGAGAAATCAATTTTTAAAAACACACTAGAAGAAATGCTAACATAAAAAAGTTCGGTGAACTCCTCAAATGAATTTGGGAATGTATCACATGTGGGAGATTCTGTTTCAGGTCATTCCCTGTGGGTCCGCCGCCTTCCTCAGCCCCGGGCCCTGTTCATTGAACTGTGAGGAAGTTGGATCCTACCCCTCTTCACAGAGTAAAAAGAATTGGACAAGTAGAGAGGCAGCGGGGAGGGGGAGTTTCTGCAAGTTTATCTTCATGAGGTTGGACTCCCACTACAGTTGCTTGGATTACAAAAGACAGAGTGTACCTGAGTGAACCCCTGCCCCTGCTCCTTCTTGAACTGTGGACTGACATTGTCCCCATTATAGAGTAATCGCTGAGGGGACTCCCAACTCTGTCTGCCTCCTCGTTTGAGGCAATGTTTGAGTTCAGCTGAAAGACTGAATCCTTGGGGAGAACCCCACCGTTTCAGATAGGTTGTGGACTGGTCACAGAGGGTGAGAAGTGCCCTGGCTGTTCCTTGAGCACCAGTGACTACACTGGGGATGGAGGTGGAGAAACTGGTTGAACCCTAGGATCCTAAGCAGCCCATTTCATGGAAGGTCTGAGCACTGACAGTTCCTTTACAGTAACAGCACCCCCAACTTTTCTGGATGGTTTTTCAGATGGAGACTTAATGAAATCACTTTGTCAGTTGCAAAAAGAGCCAGGTGGCGTAGGGTGATCTTCAGCTGAGCCGGGGTCACCCTAGAGCTGGAGAGGAGTAAAATCCCATGACATGGAGAAGGAAAGTTGCTCTAGGACGGTGCCAACCATCTGTGCCTCTTTGATTGGAGGTCTCACCCTCACAGGCTCACTCAGTCACATGCCACCAGTGTAGATGGGGTGGAGGAGGGGAGATGCCTCACCCCATGTGGGAGAAGACAAAGGGACAGCCTGCTTCACAGCAGCTTCATCATCCACCAGCAAAGTTAAAAGTAAAATCCTTGTGTATATGCCCTCTGGGCTCTGTCATTCTCACTGTCTCATCATGTGCACGCACGCACGTGTATATTGAACAGGATACGCGCCCAGGCTCTGAAGACAGACGGCCTGGGGTGAAAGTGGGTGCTGAGGCACCAGAGCCCTGCCCAGGTTTTGGTTGTCTTTGCTGCTCACCTTGTCCCTTGCCTGTGTAGACTGACAGGCTCCTGGCGTGTGACTTGTGCTGGGTTGAAGGTCCCTGCTGGGATGGGCCTCAGCCATTATTGCAGTTCTGAGGCCTTTCACAGTTAGGATGTACGTAATTAATTGATCTGTTCCATTGTTTCATGAGGTGTTCAGTAAAAAGGCATTTTTATTTGCTGATCATAACAGAGATCTGTGTAATAAGAATAATGAATTCTATATGGTTCTTCTGTTTACAAATTAAAATCCTTTTAGCTGGTTGCGGACTAGTTGTCTAGAGCCTAGGTTTTATTTTTTTGGGTCATTAACATGTTAAGTTTTTAAAAATATGTTTTGGTGGGGAAAAACTCTGGCGTTTGCCAAAGCTCCCCACCCCCTATTCCCTTTTGTACTTATTGCACTCATTGGCCTGGCCTGTTGTGGTCATTTAAGTCTGTGTTCCATCTTAAGAGACACGCTGTGTGGCAGAGGACTGCTTTGAACCAAGCTAAAATAATGGGCTTGATAGAGCCACCCACACACGCTGAGACCCTGTCAGAGTCCTGGTTTTGCTATTGTACCATGGTTATGTAAGAAGTAACCACTGGGTAACCGAGGGTATACATGACCAATCTCTTGGTATTATCTTTGCAACCTCATGTGAATCTACAAGTACTTCAACATAAAAAAAAATGGGCCTCATTCTGTTGGGAATGGGGTGTGGTCAGGAGCCAGATGCCTCTTTGGAGTGGCCAGTGTGCCCTCCAGGTGTTGGAGTTTTGTTCAGAGGCATTTCCAGTGACCTGAACGTGTTCATTTCCCACAAAAGGCAAACAAGTTCATTGATACAAAGTTGGCTGGGATGAATTTTTTTGTCTGACCCAGTGGTTTGATATATTCTGCGTGGCTTCTTATCGTTTTGAGGAGTGTTTATATGAAAAATCTTGGCTTTCGTGTTAGGTCTGATATTTAGATAGTCTTAAGACACTATTAAAAGATTGATCCAAGCCAGAAAAAAGCAGCCACTTGAAACATTTCATTCCTGGCTGCAGAGCCGAAGATAAATCAGGAAGCCGAGGGGCGGCTTGTGTGGTGTGAGCAAATGAGACAGAGCAGCCAAACTCTGACGTTACTCACCTGTCAGTTGGCCAGAATGAACTGGCCTAGTTTGCCTCTTGGGGGATGTTCTGCCATAAACAGTTGTTAAAATTATGCCACATAGAAATGCATATAAATTTCCTTCTTTCCCTAGTTTTCACATCATGTGTGACTTGAATTCACATGTGGAGATTAGCCTCGATTGGGATGAGTGAAAAGACTGTGGCTGAGGGAACCCAGGAAAACAAGCTGTATATCCCTGTACATTGGGGAATACTTTTCCCACCACAAACCTTTTCAGGACTTGTTAGTTGTTCAACCTCAGATGTTTGCCTTCATATCACAGAAACATCCATGACAGGCTGTCTAGGAGGAGGGAGATAATTAAGGGACTCCTCTGTGCTTTACTCTCTCTAAAGTTTCTGAGATGAATGTGGGGTTCTCAGGTGACACCTAAGTATTTGGTAGTGTCTGAAGTTGATGGGGATGATTTTTCTGTGAAAATATAGTTCAGAAAAGCAAAATACAAGCAAAGTGCTGTCTTTGCAGGCTGAGATGTAGTCAGGTACATTGAAAAGAGATGATAGAGCCAGTGATGGGCAGTCTCAGACTTTTCCACTGAGGAAATTGTGGCGTATCCATATCAAGGAATGGCATTTCATCCATAAATAGACCGAGTTAGAAGTTTCTGGTGGTGAGTTGTTAAATGAGAAAAACCCAGTTGCAGAAAAATTTATAATATGATCTGGTTTTATAAAGTAAATCTATTTGAGAATATTGGGTTTGTAGTGACTATATGAACATGGAGGAAGACATGAAATGTATATATTAGGTTTTTAACATTGATTACCATGGGGAGGGGGTAAGTAGACTGTAAACAAGGGAAAATACTTCAAACAAAAAGTTAAAGGAGTGTGAAAGATGTTTCATCCACAAAAAATTACATTTAGGAATGTGTGTGTGCCTAGTGAAGGGTATGATAGAATAATTATAAAAATGTTAGATTCATTTCAAGGTACTGGGTTTTCGACTGATTTTTACATTCCTTATTAAATGTTTCCTAATTGAGTATTTTTTTAATGAGAATTTTGCAATGAACATTTTTACTTTAAAATTTATTTTTATAAAAATAAAGTATATCCAATCTTAAAGCTCTTTTCATTGTGAGGAAATGTTCTAGCAGGTTCAAAGGCACTCAGACTTACGACTTTTGGGGGGAGGAACAGGAGCAGAAATGTGGAAGAGACACCTCTTTTTGGGGTAGGTGGTGAGAAACAAAGTCCAAATCCTAAAGGAGAAAGAGAAGAGCTCTTCTGAGCCTTGGGGGCCGAGAGACCCACACTTGGATCTTGGCAGTGTGTCTTACTTGTACCATGGTTGGAGATCTAATCCATGCCCCGATTCCTACAAAATGGGGAGAATACTATAGTGTCATTGGGCCTGGCACATCATAAGCACTTAATAAACATTTTTGTACTGAACGGAGACTGAATAAATGAATGCATGCATGTTTGATTCATTGAGGTCACATATGTAAAGTCTGAGCTATGTTGTAAATACTCAACAAATGGTAGTTTTCTTCCCCCAATTCTCATGTTCTTTTCCTAAACCGGCATACCTGGGGAGTGAATTCAGTGGAGTAGGGTCTTGTGGTATCCTGAGTTCCATGTTTTGCGGTACAGTCTTACATGAGGGTGGACATGAACTTGGTCAACTGCTTCTCCTCTTTATGCTTCCTCTCTAAAATGGATGTTATGATAATACCTTGGAAGGATTAAATGAGATACCAAAGACATGACGCCTGACAAAAAATGAATATTCACTACATTTAGTGGTTAATAAACATATTAAGAGTATTCCCCAGGTTGAATACACAGTACTTTGTATGTGCGTCTGTAAATGGAGAGTATTTTACAGAGTGCCTGATACAGAATAGGCACCTGAAAGATTAACAGATTTAGATAACCTGAGCATAGTATATGTCAGCATCCTGATTTTATTGGCACTGGAACCAGTTAGCTTATTTCCATCATGTAAAACAGTTCTTGAAGGCATTCTGCAAATGTGCCTTTGCTAAGGTTGTCTTTTCCAGCGATGATCTCAAAAACAGAGAATGTATTATTATTTATAAGATGAACATTGTGTGTTTTTCTTTACACAGACTCCCCCCACCCCTGCTTTTGGTTTAAATTGCCAATTTAAAAAAATAATTTTTTAACATTCTTGTACCTGCAGGGAAAATGAGGTGCTCAAAGTCCAGCTGAAGAAATATGTAGGAGCTGTCCAGATGCTGAAAAGAGAAGGTCAAACAGCTGAAGGTGAGGGGGAGACAAGCCCGGGTGGGGAAGGGGCCAAGCCTTTACATCTTTATCACCCCTGTGCCTGGCACATAGTAGACACTCATCATGTGACAAGTGTATATGCAGATGAATTAGAAAAGCAGGATTCTGGAAAATTAATGCTGGAAAATCCTGCTGGGTATTCTAGCTAAACTAATATTGTAAAACTTACTTGTTAGATTATTAACAACAGTCATATCAATTTGTATACTTAGGGAATTTTATGTCTGGAGTCTTGAGACCCCTTACAACATGAGTAAGTCACATTAGGCCAGGGATAAAAGCAACAGAATGCTGAAGTGGTGGAGAATCCGAGCTCTGGACTTACGTTAACCAGGTTCCAGCCCCAGCCCTGGTTAAGTATGTTCATCTCTCTGTACCTCAGTTTCTCATCTGTAAAATAGGGTTTGCTGACAGTGCCTACCTCATAAGGCAATACATGTAGACAGCATAATTCCAGCTATAGAGTAAACGCTGAGTAAATTTTAGCTATTACTAATATTATTAATCAGAAATATAAGTGGATAGAAAAATGATCACTTGACAAGATCTCACAAAATGAAGTGGCGATCTATGCGTCCTCTCTCTGTAGTTTTGCTGCAGTTTAACTCTCATGAATCTACTGAAACGTTTCTCAGGTCAGCCTGAAGAAAGGCTATAACTTTGGCTGAAGTATCTTGCAGCCCTCAGCCATCTGAACATTATAAGGTTTACTTAAACAGAAATGAACTCTTAGAGTTGTGGACATTTTAACGTAGGGGTGGGTGGTCTGTGCTCACAGGCCTCGGGAGTCAGCCACACTGGATTTGAATTTAGGCTCACCCGTTAAAACTTGACCTCTTGGAGTTATTTTGTTATCTGTGAAAGGAAACATCACATCATTGTCATGAAGTAATTGTGGGCATTTACCAAAACAACACAAAGCTTCCAATATGGCATCTGGCATATTCTAGGTGTTCAGTACATGCTAATCATTTTTCTGGTAATAGAGGGGTACAGGATTGGAATCTGGGTATGGCTTGCATAGTATTATCATAAAGACTTCAATTTTCTTTGATGCTTCTGTATTTCTTATGGTCCCAGTTTGATCAGATTCAGTATATTGATGATTTTAACAAAGTACCATGCCTTGCTTCATTCATGATTGGTCTATATCTGTTACCAGTCTGGGGGTTATCACTGCAGAATTAATTATTAACCTATTAATTATTAATTACTAATTGTTTCCTCTCTGGGCTCATCACCCTTTTCATGCAGATATTGCAATTATGGCCCCAAATTCATTCCATTATGTGGAGTTTATGTATGTTGGTCTTCAACTTTTTACTCCTCATCTTTGTTTCCCTAGCACCCGGCTTTTGCAGTCATTCATTCTATTCTGTACATGTTTTCAATGGATAGCATTTGTCTAGCCCCTTCCTCTTTCCAGCCAAGTTCAAGTCTATTCTCATTTGACTCAGTAACTCTGTGATGAGTATGTCCATTTCCTCCATTTAAAAAAAGTTTGTTATTAGAGACTCAGGAGAGCTTATGGGGCTGTTCATGTATCTGGGGTGGAAATGAACTTCGGTCATTTTTCTCCAAATCTTTGGTTCTTTACTTATACAATTCTTAAAGTTTAGTGTGCAGAGGAATTGCCTGGGGAGCATATTAAATATGCCTTTCCTCTGAGGAGAAGAGAATTCCTTTTCTTAGGGCTTCTTTCAGTGGATCCAGGATGGGGCTCTAGATTTGCATGTATAGATCTGTGACCCTAATGCACATGACCTGTGGGCCACACCACCACCTTTTGAGAAATCTGTATTCTACCTATATAGAACTTTGATTGGGTACATTAAGAAAATTAAGCCTTGGGAAGACAGAAGCACCACCAGACTTGCTTTTGCTTTAAACACCTCAACCCTATAAAATACACTTCTGAGTGGCAGTATTTTTGTAGTGACTCCCTCCAAGTGGGTACATGGAACCTGCAATGTGCTGCATGGTTTCTCATGGGAGCCTAGTTCCCTTTCCTAAGGCCCAGGCTGAATACTCTGCAGCAAAGTTAGGAAGGAGCCTTTTCAGGACAAAGTTGAGATGGTCCTTAAATGGATTGGAGCAGAGGTAATTAAGCATATTTTGCTACCTTGTATAGCAGCAGTCCCTTACTACTCTGCTTCTTACTATGTGGTTTAGAGTGGCTGCCTTATCTGTGAGTTGTCCTTAGGCAGAAGGCTTTTATAAAAGCCCTTGGGTGTGGTGATGCACTGCTGTCCTGTTGTTGCCAATCGAAGTACTGCACTTCACTCCTCTCACTCCACAAATGTTAATGAGCGCCAGCTCCGTCCTAGGTACCGTGAAGCAGCCTCGTTAAAAGGCACTCTTTCAAAAATTTCACTCGGGCCCTTTAAGAGCTTTTACATAATTTTCAAGTGATGTCATTTATTACTCAAAGAAATTGAGGCTTTTCTCCTCAACCACACTGACTCAGTTTGTTAAAAACCATTGAGAACGCACCCTGACCAGGCTGCAGTGCCTCGGGGTGTCCTGGCCAGGCTGTGGTGGTTTGAGTGTCTGGGGAGCTGGAGGAGGAGGGGCAGGGAGAGGATGGAGAGGGAGAGGTCCTTTTTGATCTATAATTTCCTTGGCTCCTGATGTTAAAGGGATGGACATAGAGATGGGTACTGGCTCCCAGAATTCTGGATGGGAATTTTTAATGCATTTTCCACATTATAAGCCTTTTAGTTTGAGGATATAAAGCTTCTTTTTATCTCTTGGCAACAAATTGTTTATGCAACTGTGAGCTCATTGGCAGGGAAAAAAGTAAAAAGCCATTTAAATGGAAGTCAAATGCCTTTAGGGTCATATTGTTTGCTGAGAGTTATATTGGGATCCTCACCTTCATTATCACATCATTATTGTGGGAAAATGCATCCAGGATCAAAACAAAACTTAAATTGGACCTCTAGACTAGATTGCTAACAACCTCTGATTTTATAGATACCACATTTCAAACTCCCATTGTCCTGCCTTTTTCACAAGAGTGATACAGTCCTTCTGAGAAAATCATGATTTAATCAGCAGTATGTGGAGTAGAATTTTGGGCAGCCTCCTCAAGTAATTGAAAGTTTCCCCCACCCCCCCAATGTTGTCCAGAGGTAATGTTAGGTTATTTACCACTCAAATGCTCTTTTTGCTTGGTAAGTTCAGAAGATTTTCCAAAAGCTTATGTCTCTGTTTGCATTTTTGGACCGTTGTCATCCTGGAGCTGTGTTGTGCTGTCCTTCCAGCATTAGAGCTGTGGCAGGAGGCCCATCGCAACCAGAAGGAACTGGCTTGGCAATTAAACTCCCATTGTAATTCTTATTGGACATTTGAGCGGGAGACCACTCTCCAAATTCATGCTTTCATTTCAGGCTTGTTGCTGAAATTTGAAAAGATGTGTGGCATGTTGGCTTCTTGCCTGTAGAGGCCTTCTGGCAGCTCAGGGAGAGGCCTGGGGAGTAGGTGAACCCCCTAGCCTCAGATAACCTGATGGGTTGTATTAGCACAACTCGCTCATTCTCTTAGGAACAGATTTCTGTTAGCCATCACACAGAGAGTGATGTACAATCAGGAGAGTAGTTTATTCATTATTAATGAGAAATAGAGTCATTGGGTAGATCAGAAGGTCTACATCTGATGTTTAAGCATATCTTTCCCCTGGGCTGATCATCCTGGGGAGCTGGATTCTCACCTGATGGCTGCTTATTGGGTTGGAGAAGGGGAAACTAGCTGGGTGTTTCATGTGTTCAGTGGCTTGATGTGTCCCTTATTTGGAGATGGAAAGGTCACTAGGCCTAGGAAAGCCCTCACTTGGAGAGAGACATTGTCAACTTCTGACTTGTCACAAAGCCCTTTTCTTATTTTTAGCCTGTGGTTCATCAGCATTCTGAGGAGTGCTAATTCCATTGCATGTTGGTTGATGTTGAGACACAGAGTGCAGCTCTTATGTGTGATACTTATATATTTTGTACTTACCTCAAAACAAGCAGCAAATAACTGTTTTAATTTAGCGATTGTAATTAATTATGGCTCTTCTTCCCTGCCCCCAAGTTCTCTATAAGACATAGATGCAGGAATCAGACACATAGTGAGCAAAATAACAGTATTTGACTGACAGTGGAATGGAAACTCCAGCTTGACTTATAGCCAGAGTCACACTCCTAATAATACACTGCCACCCAGGGACTCCTCTTATGAGGGATGGTTTGTTATGCAGAATTATTCTTACCCAGTGGGGACCAAGCAGGAAAAGAATGCATAGGGGTGCTTCACTCTGTAATACATCAACTCTGTGCAGTTGAAATCTCACCAATCAGATAGGAGGTGAGAAGTGAGACTGAGGTCATACCTGTGGTGGAAGTCTCCCCATAGAAACATGGCCCCAGGATGGAGGCCCCTCGCTAAGAGCTCTGATGACTGCAGCCACTGAGATGCCTCCTGAGGGAGGTCCTAGGGCAGCAGGGCCATGGCAGGAGTGTGGTTTAGTGAGTGGACACCTCTTCCATGGCAGCTGACTGTCTGGAGAAAGGCCATATCAACAGGAGGAAGGCTTGTCATCCCTGTAGCTGTGTGTTTTTCTCCAAGGGTGTCACTTCATCCTAGTCTCTGCATATGCCCCCATGAAAACTGGTCATGGCCAAAACATTTGGGAAAAACTATGCATTGCCACTATTTTTGCATGTCATGATGGACATTAGAAGATGAATGACTTGTGTGATAAAAACATTGAAAAATCCCCTTGGCAACAGACTAAGAGTTCATGTGACCTCTCTGTGGCTTAGTTTATTCCTCTGTAAAATAGGAATTGTAATAGTATCTTCCTTGTAGGGTTTGGGAAAGATGAAATACATTAATACATATAGAAAGCACTTAGAAAATGTCTTGTACATAGTAGCCACTCAATAAATGTTGGAATCGTTATTACCACTTTGATTATCTTACTTCTCACAGCCCCT